CGCCGAAGAAACCCTCCCCGACGTGGACCTCCGGGGGGGGAGGGCGGCCGTGGAATGGCCCCAGCGCCAGGTCCCCAGCGGCCTGGACGAGGTAAAAGCCGACCCAGGGGATGGGGGGATCCAACAGGGGGGCCGCCGCGTCGGCGAAGCGGTTGAGCTCTCGGAAGCCCCACGCCGCGACCGTGGCGAGGCTCAGGACCAGGTTCGCCTGCGGGGTGAACTTCGGACTGAGCCCGTCGACCAGAGCCTTAGCCCGATGGGCGAGCCACGCGTACAGGTCTGGCTTCCCCACAAACACAGGCACCGGCACGTCCTCAGTCATCGTCCCCGGCACACGCTGTAACAGCCGCAGGAGAGGGTCTATTTAGTGTTGGAACAGGAAGATGGCTAAGAGGGGTAACAGGACACTTCATGAGAAAGCAACAAAGCAGTTACACACACGGGAAGTCGGAATGATTTGTCGCACACTTGTACAGATAAACAACACTCTTTTGATATCATTGGAAGCATGTTTTATTTTATTTTATTTTATTTTTTTTTGGGGGAAGGAGGGGTCAGTACACATTCTATGAGAAAACAAAAACAATAAAACTTAACAATTACCAATGAATCTATGACAACGGTAATATGTCTATCGACACCGAAACGGAAGCTGTGATGAGGAAAGAACATAAAACAGTAACGTCTTAGATTATAGATGAAATTTAAATATGGGGTGTATTTCCATTCAGAGGTGTACCCAAGGCAACAGTAAACACCCCCAGTCACTTTTTTCCACACCACGTGACTACAAGGAACGTCAATTGTATCGTGAATCACAGAAATACCATTTCAAAAAAAAGTAGATCGAACCGTCATAGTTAGCCCTTTCTTATCAGACTTCATCTGAAGCATGAAATTCTCATTGACAAGTCACAATCCTACAGCATTCGACCCACCTGATAAAAAAAAGAGATCTTGTTTAATTTTTGAAAGCTCAGCGTAAAATAACACCGACTTTTAATAATTTTCCCTTACTGTGATTATTAGCCTATTATTATGCAACCTGTAAACACATGCCTATGGTCATCCAAGATGCTTATCTAGAGCAAGTATTTCCATCTTCGTGTAAAAAGACTGATCAGGGCAAGTACAGGTACAGGCAAGGCTACGAATAATTCATTGCTTGTTTGATCTATAACTTGCCGAACCTCTTAGATAAACCAAATTTCTAAACAAATAAATAAGGTAAAAATTATAGATAGAAAATAAAGTAAAAAATAGAATTGTTTTGTAGGTCTAAATAAATCATCACTTGCCAAATATATAAAATCAAGGAGTTAATTTTTCTAAAGGGAAATTCGAACAATAGACATTTTACATAGCTACCCTTACAAGGAATGAAAAAGGTCGTCTAAATATTTAACTTTTGTACAAACATCTTCCAAGGAATAATTCTAATGAACTAAAAAGGTCTAAAATATTTATTCACCTTTATTACTTGGTACACTGCACCAAAACTAAAGCAAGAGAATATTAAAATTCAGAAAACATATATATTTGCATACTAAAACAGATTGTACATGCCTAAAAAGGTCAATTTTGGCGATGCAGTGGTAAAAGCGGAATATTTTTGTATCGCGCTGGTTTCGCTGCCTCAAGATTTTGCATCTCTTTCTGAAGGCGATCTTTGTAATGGGTCATGAAGAAGTTTTGATCTGTCAGATTCTGCTGTCTTTCCATCTTCTCCGCCTGCTTCCTCGCCGCGTGATGGCTAATCTGATTGAGCAGGAATTCCTGATTTTCACGCGCACGCGCCAAACGCTGCCGATCCGCCTCCTCCTCTCCATCGCTTTTCTTTGAGGCGCGCACAATCTCTTCATAGTCACGCTTGACGGCAACCGCGTCGTCGCGCTTCTTCTGATGAATGTCAAGCACCTGCTGGCGGCGTATCTCGAGGATGCTGGTGAGGAGCTGATCCCGCTTCGCTTGATCGGCTCGCCAACGCGCCTCACGTTTCTCCCACTCTCGATCATTAGCCTCGGCCCAAAGCTGGTCGTAGATGTGTGCGTCCTCCTTCGTCTGAGCGATCTGGAGTTGGAGATCGTCCCACTCCGCCTTCCGCGTGCGAATCTTCTCCTGTTTCGCTTCTTGTTGTTGGAGCCGCTCCTCCGCCAGCTCTGCAAGGATGGCGTCGAGGAGCTGCTTGTCCTCTTGCCTCAGCTTGTCGTACTCCTCTTTGCGAGCCCGCTGTAGGATTTCATTCAGCTCTTTCATTTCCTGAGCTAGTTCACATTTGG